CGTGAGGAGGAGGAGGAGGAGGAGGAGGAGGCCCTCTGCCTGCTCTAGTTGCACATCAGGCTAGGGCAGGCCATTTTATCATAAAATCACCTTTGTCTGACTATCTGTTTTTACATTCTGACTGAGAAAAACAATTCAAGATATCTTCAGTTACATTTTAACAAATCAAAAATGTCTTATCTGAAATGATGTAACCGGATTGGTCGTTTTAACATATCCTGCCAAAAATATCCCGTAAATCTGCGACGTTTTTATTTAAGATCTGAAACAGAAAAGTCGTGTAGCTGAAACAATATTCAAGATATTTTTAAATCATTTGTTGATATCTTAAAGTGCCTGTGACAAATCATAGTCAAAGAAAACATCTTTATGTTGAAGAAAGTTGGATTTTACCCATTTTGTCGCATAACTGGCGTTTTTATTAAAGTTAGTTCGGCCAAAGTGAAACAGGAAGTGACATCACAGGGGAGCTATTAAAGAACTCCCTGGTGTTTTCTCATTGAAACAATCTTATTTGAACTCTGACTTTTCTTCACCTTCCTCTGAGAGAGACTCAAAATAATCTAAAGAAACACAATCTTGTCGACAGCGGTTGTTGCAACGCTCTGTTCACAAGCAGACGTTCCCCTTTGACATCACTTCCTGTGACTTCACACGTGAATATCACAACTGTTCGTCTCAGCGGTGTGACATTTACTTTGCAATATGTTATTAATGTTATCTTTCTAAAAATGCATTCATATTTAAAACAAAAATTTGACATCACAGGCACTTGTGACTCAGCAGAAATTCAGTTCTAAATATCTCTAAGTTAGTTTTGCTGAGTCATCCTTTGCTTTCAAGGTATCTGCAATTAAATTTGCACTGTCGAATCTCATCTAAAAATACATTTAGGATATGTTGAATTGGTTTCATGATTAGTCAGAACAAAATGTGAGAGATCTTCAAAAACAATGACTCAGCAAAATTAACTTAGAGATGACTAGTAGCGGTGCAACAACACATGTACCGGTATCAAACCGTTCAATACACACCATGTATGGAACAATACAGATTATTAAATTTATTTTATCAGCTCGTCTTCTGAAGATGCTCTGTGTTGAAGGATCAGTGGATCTGTGTTCGACTACTCCACCTAGGCTGCTCTGTGGAGCGCAGATCCACTGAGAAACGTGCTGTTTCAGCAACATTTCATTTAAAAACTGTACTTTTGAGATTAAACAAATGTTCATTTTTAATTTAAATAAATTACAAGTTAAAAAGGGCGTGAACATATCTCTTTTTTGTATCAAAAAAAATACTGAATTGTGAAAATAAAGTATCGAAACAAACCAAATCGTGAATTTTCTGTATCGTTGCACCTCTAATATCAAGATTTGTATTTTTGACGAGTCATGATTTCTTTTAAGAAATCTTGATTTGGAGCCTCCATACAACTTAATCTGATGTCCTTTATTCTAGTCTATAATTAGAGATATCTTACTTAACTAATATGACTAGTCATAAACTTAATTTCAGGTGTCTGGAATGTGGTGGAGCTGATTTTATGGTAAAATGGCCTGCCGTACATCGTCTGCGCTTTCACTTCTGAGACTAAGTCCTCCTAGGAATAAGAAGGCAGAATCCTAACAAAAAAACTGACCCCAGCAAAACTGTTACAAACACAATGTGATGCAAAAACAAACTGAAAAAAAAAACTATATATATA